AGCGCCCTGAGGAGGCTGAACGCCAGCTACAACCGCCTGTCCAGGGTCCCCCCAGAGCTGGAAGACTGCGAGAACCTGGAGAGGCTGGAGCTGACAGGGAACCACAACCTGTCCGAGCTGCCCTTCGAGGTGAGGCCGACTCCCAGACCCCCAGACCCAACCGGCCATTAGCCCCCACCTGCCTTTAGCCCCAACCTGTCTATAGCCTCGATCTGTTTTTAGCCCCAATCTTTCCCTTTAGCCCCAACCAATTCCACTTTGCTGTGTTGTTCCCTGATTTCCCAGCACACCCTTAAGCATTAGCATTAGCATCTGTAACCCACAGGTCTGTGTCCTAACCATGAAGTTGTTATCAGAGTAAATCCCTGTTCAACATGAGTCTGACAACTAAGTAAGTAGATAAATAACTTTAGACTTTAACACAGGCTCTAACACAAGAGCAAAAAGCTGGATGGGGACATCCCTACTCTGAGTTTAACTGAGCGATGTCTGTCTGTTCTGGGCTCGTGTTGATGATGTCACCCGCTCTGATGACGTCACCCCCCCCCCGCCCGCCTGCAGCTCAGCGGCCTGAAAAAGCTGGCTCACCTGGACATTGCGGAGAACAGGTTTGCGTCCATCCCCATCTGCGCGCTGAGGATGACCAGCCTGCAGCTGCTGGACCTGAGCAGCAACCGGCTGAGCGACCTCCCCCAGGACATGGACAGGTAGGGGGGGGGGGGGGGGCGGCCCCCCAGGGGTCACGGAGGTCGGGTCATTATGACCTCATAAACTTAAAAGAAAAAGATTACATAAAATGAATAGTAATATTCGTCCACAGATATTTATGTACGGCTAATTGTGAACATTTTTATGGTCAAAATGGCTGAGATGTAATATTTCCTGTTGAAATTTGAGGCTGAAACATGAGGTGAATCCATCCCAAACTTGGCTGAAACATGCAGTTGGCGCCTGTTGGCGTGTCGCAAATATAATGTTTGCATACACGTTTCTATACCCAAATTTTCCACAGTCTGGCTAATGTCTGTAACCATCTACGTTTGATGTTTGTTAGTGACACACAGCAGAACTTCTACAGGAGTTTAACTGGTTCCTATGGTAAAATATTGGTATGATGGTTCAAATCCTCCATCAGAATACTCTGTAATTCCTAGAATTGGTTCCAAAAACCTACGATAAC